GCCTATATTTTGGGGCTTGCACAACATTTAACATTTAAATAAAGATAGGCATAAGCAATTAGAAGCCTAGAAACGCGATCATAAATAATTTATTAGCCACATTTCTTTATTTGGATATAACTGTTGTTTTGAAGCGCAAACTATAGTCGTGTTCTCATTGGAAACTCCAGTGAGGTCAAATTTATCGCTAAAATCTACATCTCTAATGTAAGCATTCTGATGCCTTGTACCCATTCGTTATTTATCTCCACTACAACCCACGACAGAACGTCTAAAACTGGCTCACAAATTTCCATCTGCCAGTTTGACTCGAATGATCCTGATTCCAAAGTTCACCACACGAGGCAGACAGCAGGAATTGTGTGGTCCTAACACAGGTAAAGTGGATTTCGAGATGTATCAATCTTCCAGCAATAAACTAAATGTGACTTTACTGCTCCTGTACCCGAACAGCGCGGTACATGCACGGTCTGAGCAATCATTCTAGCGGGTAATCTTGGGGATAAGCAAGTTCGATTTCCCTCCCTTAAAGAATCAAATTGAATGAAGTAAATGGCAAGGAGATACAAGGTTTCGTCCTCGTGTCAAGTTCACCTGTTTCCAAATTCAAGTTCAAGATCCAGTCTTGTGACCGGGATGACCGGCGCGAGATTACGACGAGGCGTTTTGGTCACTTATCGGAGCAAATTGACGGAAACCATCCATTAGACTGGAACAACGACCAGGGCTTCTCTGGAAAACAAGTCAAACTGAAACTTATAGCGGCTACTGGGACGATGTTGAAGGACCATGTACACGTCTGGTCATTGTAGGAGGCTGAAATTGAACATTTGTAATGATAAAGATCTCTATGTCACTGGTATGTTTCCATTTCTAAATTCTGAAGATTTCATTTTATAACTATTAAGGAATATGAATTTGCACAAACGATTGTCCGAGAAACCTGAAAACAAGTTTTCACAAAACGAATGATCTTAAAATAAGACGAATCATTTTTCCATTCTATTCCATGAAGGCCAAGGCCGTACGTCTGGTCGATACGGTCTGTATATCACCGGTTCGTCACGCTATGGCAGGTTAAGATAGTTCTGCCGTGTGGTTCACAGGAAATTGTATTTGACGTTCTGAGACGCTTAGAATGATCCGTTTGGTATCGATCATCTGTATGTTGTACTTAAGACTCATTGAAGAAAATCCATCAGATTTATCTTTCACAACATATAACCGTCCTTCGATCTAAGGCACCAACTTCTGTATCTGTAAAACTGATAGAACCATAAATGTACTTCGATCTAAGGTACCAGCTTCAATTTGTATCTGTAGAACCATTCTTTGGCGGCGTTATGCACCATCTTCTGTCAACACGAAGGCAGCCAAGTGATCAATTCAATCCTCGTCTTGGACGTTAAGTGTTTGTGATTGATTCCTTCATTACCCGGCGGCGCTCCTTGGGAGGAAATCTGTCTCGTCTTGAGACCGGGAGATTGTCTTCACGCCACCACGTCTTAATAAGCACCGACAAGATTCTAGTCATCCACAGATGTAAGCAATGGTCCATT